GCTCCAGAGCTGGAGTCTGCCAGTGCTGCCCACTAGCCCATGCCAGCATTCACACCAGGCCTCGGCCATCACCATGTGCCTGGCCATGCTGGACCAGTCCTGAGGTTCATTAGTGACTCGTGATTAGATCCAGCTCTGGTCACTTGCCTTCAAGCTCCATTCTCTAGAGTCTTTTAGGCTATTTCTTCATTTCTTTCCAAAGGGCTTTCATCACAAGATTTCTATACAAGCCAGAGCCGAGGGTCCTCTAAAGGGTGGAAGTTATTTCCTAGGGCCGTTAAGCTTCAGGGAAGACGAGTGACCGTGGGTGAGCCCCAGCGTCCCACCCGTGGGTTCTCATGTCCCCGGCGAGGATGTGTCTTCACATGTAGCTGCTGATGATGTGCTAACTTAGGTTTGAGGAGCCTGACTAGCAGAACCTCAGAGAAATATGGTAAACAAGTAGCTATGGCCATCTTCCTGCTTTTATAACAATAAACATTGCAATTCAGTATTCCAGTACTGGGCCTGCTAGGCCTCGTGAGAACCTATCAAAACCAGTACTATCACGCCCCTTGTTAGCTGAAGAACAGAAGACTCGGGGAGATTCCGGGATCGCCCAAGGACAGCCGTGAGGGAGTCAGACAGATGCATAGGGGGTTCTCTATGCTCAGGTGCACTCTGTTGCAACATGGGACTTCGTGTCTTCAAATTCTGAAGAAAGGTCCTTCTGGGAAAGATATACATCCACATTATCAAAATAAAAGTGAACGCTTTGTTACCTGAAATGGAAAATGATGGAAACCACCACCAGCCCATCCTAGGGGCTGCTATGCTCCGGCTCCAAGATCATCCCAGAAATGGCAGACACCTCATGATCTGAACAGTAGCCTTCTAAGACTGATGTCCATGGCCTCATCCTTGAACCTGTAGCATTATTTTATATGGAAAAAGATGCAATGAAGGATCCCCAAAGTAGTCCACCACTTATCCTGGTGGACCCCAAAATCCAAGCACAGATATAAGAGAAAGACAGGGGGAAACAATGAAGGGAGGGAAGTAGACACCTGAGAGATATGACTTCAAGTCAAGGGACCAGCAGGACTGTGGGCAGCCCCTGAGGCTGGAAGAGGCACGTAGGATGGGACACGAGAGCCTCTGGAGGGGGCAGGCCCTGAAGATGCCTGCATTCCAGATTTCTGGACTCCGGAGCCGTGATGGCCAGTGCTAAGCCAAACTTGCATTCATTTGTGACACAGCTGCACAGGAAACACACCCCAGAATACGCAAGCTTCGTGGCTGGGTCTCACGCGAGGCCAGGAGGGAGGTGGCTCAGAGGCGGAGAGTTCTGTTGTCTCAGGGCCCCTTCCTGAGCAACTCACAGATCCGTTTTTCATGGGTGAAATCATTAGCTGCCCAGTGGTAAAAAATTTGCTTTCTGAGGTAGAACAGAAAGCAAACACACAGAGGAAGGGTAATGGTTTGGGCTCAGCACAGGGAGCCTGGAATCTAGACTGTGGAGAATAAGACAAGCTTCTGGTATGGAAGTCCTCCACTAGGGTGGGGAGAACAAGAAGTGTTGCTCCTTATTGGCAGTTAGCAAGCCTCGTGACTTGCAGTTTGAATCGCAGAAAGAGAGCCAATGGCAGGGCACGGCCCACTCCTGCTGATGCTTTAGGGGGTGAGTGGGTGTTTTTGCCTTTGAAACAGGCTCAGAGTTACATTCCAGCATGGCTGAAAGGGTGGAGGGAGAAGCTGACACCTTGGAAGTTCTGAGAAGTTCTGAAGCAACATGGAAAGTTTCCATTCTCCTGTTTCCTGAAACACAGGTAATGGAGTTGGCCAACCGCAACATTCTTTCTTTCAGTAAATGAACACAGCACAACCTCAAGTGCGAAACCCTAAATACACAGGTTTGTCCTCCTGGTGTGCTCTGGAGAGCAACCGTTCTCAACGCAAAGCAAGTTCGCCCTACCCTCCCACCTGCAGGGATGGCAATGTCTAGAGGTCATGACCATTGGTCATGACTGGCAGGGGTGGTGGGTGCTACTGGCTTCTAGCGGGGAGAGGGCAGGAGTGCTAACACCTTACAATGCACAGACAGCCCCACAACAAGGACTGATCCAGCTCACAATGTCAGTGGTGCTGGGCACCAGTCCACAACCGCACAGCCATGGACGTGATGGTGGACGAGAAGGTCCTGGAGTAGGAAGGACAGGAGGCTGAAGAACACACCAAAAGGAGAGGACACGCACGTCTACACCCATGACTGTGCTGAGGCCTGAAGGATGAGGGGGGCATTCAGTCGGAAGTGGGGAGCGAAGTTGCACGAGCAAAATAGAACCTTCCAGGCAGAGGGCAAGCCCATGCCTGGAAGTTGAAGAGCAAAAAGCTTTCAGAAAGTTTACATCTAACAGGGCTACAGGGGGAATGAGTAAGCTCATGGGCTAGCGTAAGTGGAGCCCAGAAGGGAACTTTTCAGACTGTCCTGTGACTGGAGAGAAGGACCATCTTTGTAAGGTGAGGAGGCAACCTTAGTGTGAAGAGTGGGTGTGGAGTCAGGTGTGAATTTAAATTGCTGTTTCACCAAGCTACATGCCAGGGGGGGCGTGGACAAGACACCTGAACTCTGAGTCTGTAGTTGGAGTTTTAGAAATTAAAGCAGAGATGGAGGCAAGAATAATACCGACGTCAGGTGACCACCAGGATACAAGGAGAAAACGCACAGAGCTGGCTGCCACGTGGCCACAGATAACAGACAGTGCTCTTATTTGTGTTCTTAAAGGTCACGGGGGAGGCCAACCAGAAACACTCCTTCTGGGAACACAAAGCAAAGCAAAAACAAAACCCTGAGATTTTACAGAACAAGAACCAGCTGGAGTAAAGCAGAGTTGTGGCCCTTAATAACAACACCGCGGTCATCTCACGCACCAAGACGACGACAAGCACAACTCCTGGGTCATTTAAATCATGCCCTTGATGGTACAATTGCTCTGGCTAGATAAAACACGCACCTATCCAGGCCCCCTAGTCAGCATGAGACATGAATCCCAGTGGAAACGTAGGAAGAGCTTGATCTCTGGGCGGGACTGGGGATGACAGGGGCTAGTGAACTTGAGCCCTGGCCAGGGCACAGCTGAGAGACGTAAGTCCGCAAACGGCAAGACTCCCTCGGACAAATCTCCAGTGAATCCCCTGGATCCAATTTTCTAAAAGGTTTCTTGCTCAAACGTCACTCACTGCTGCCGAAGTGGTTTCAATTCAACACCCTGGTATCTCTCCTTGTGTGCAACTCTCAGGAAGAAGTCAGGACACTTCCACATCAATAGTCTGGAGACAACAAAACAAAACAATGTGGCTAATTCCATCCCTGGTGAACTTAGTCTCATTAACTGGAATCAATCCTGTATGCTTGGTACTGGGAGGCGTGACAACACCTACCAGAGAGACCATTTCTGTGGCCAGAGTGACATCTGTTCTACTTTCAGGAATAAACTTAACCAAGTACCCGAGGTATGTCAAAGGGACAATAAGAATGAAAGGGAAAGAAAAAAATAATCACCCCTCAATAGAGGTCAAGACCACTTTGTGGTAACCAAGTCACCACGGCCCACCCAGACCAAGCACGTGGACTCAAGCTCTGGAGTGTTCTCCTGATGCAGCGAATCTGTTTTCCCCAGAGGGAAAATCCCAATCACAGAAACAAGTGACCAGCCTTTATCTGCACATACTAAGTTGCTTTTATTAATCCAGAACGGCATGCTACAGATACTGTACAGCATGAACATTTATTCATTACAAAAATGGCTTCCAAACCATTAAAAATGAAATTGGAATAAGAGCATAAAACGGAACAGTAACATCACAACTGTTAGGAAACATTCAAAGTATTCACAAAAAATGTTATATAGTTAGCATTTTAATAAACCAGAGAAAAATCGGAGACAGTTTTACAATCGCTTCATGTCAACTACAATGGCACTGAATGAACAGGTTTCAGCTTTATACAGCATTTTGCAACACCAACATGCCTAGGATTTTTTTATTTTTAAAGTTTGCTACCTACTTGTATGTAATACGTGTACATAAAAGTGGTAGCTGGTTTTCCTTTAAGTGTAATCTAATATACAGAATTTTGGCCCTTAAGGGTTTATACCTCTTCATTTAAAATGCTTTCTGGACAATCTGCTACCAAACACATCTTGTTATAGGTGACATTAAAACTACATACAAATCTAACTATGTAACATCACAGCAAAACATGATGAACAAAAATTACAGCATCAAAAAGAGGGAGAAAGCTAAAGTCACTGAGAATTTTGGCACATAAAGTTTTGCACATAGTCAGTCTGGGTCCTAAGGGTGCTGGGCGTTCGACTTCGAGCTCAAACGGGAACCCAGGGTGGTTTCCTCTGGAGCTCGGCCTCACTAAGTCCCCTCACTCATTTTCAAGTCTTGTTTTACATAATGGCTTTTAAAGCAACTTTTGTTAATGCTACTGATCCTTTAATGCAACTAGTAATGTCCATTTGGCGGTATCTGGGTTTCAGACAGCAAAAAAAAAAAAAAAAAAAAAAAAAAAAAAAGGGCAACAAAAATATATATACACATTTTATATATAAACTTAAAAACCTTGTACAAATGAGTTGTTATATATAAGATGCTTATGCTAGGGGGGAAAAAAACTTTATACAGTTTCAAGGAAAAGGAAAACATATTTTAAAAGGGACAACGTACAGGCACGACGAGCAATCTCTAAAGCAATAAATACTACTGGTCCAACAGCGTTGTGATTCCATTAATTGTTGAGTAGCACCCCCTCCCCCCAAAAGAACAACACCATGGAACAAGGTATATTAACACATTTTAACCCTTTGTTTCTGTACATTTAAACAATAACAAGTAACATCACAATAAAAGTTGTTTCACACAGAAGAAAAAAATAAAAGGTAACGGCACTGCACCCACGTGCCCTTGGGGTTTAAAAACCAGATGTAAAATGATTGGTTCGCAAGCTCGTATTTAATACAAATAATACAGAACCAACTCCTTCTGGAGGGCTGCTTCAAAATCGCTTCTTTTTTTTTCCTTTTTGTTTTTTAATCAGTCTTTTAAAACTAAGCTATCCGAACTACATAACAGTTATGTATATATATATATATTTTTTAAACGCTACAAAGACTTTAAACAGCTGTTGATAAAAATTTTGGTAGAATCATGAGGTTCTTCTCTCATCTACATATTTAAAAGGAGAAAGTGAAATAAGAATGGGTCAAATATTGACCAATGAACTCGATAAACATCAACTCATGTAGCCACGTGGCACAAAATCAAAGAGTACAAAACGAAACCTTTCAAAGGGAGGGAAAGTGAAGCCAAACCGGAACAGAAAAGCCGACGACGGAAAAGAACACGACACACACCAGCCGGGGCTGAGGAAGCTAAAGCTATTCTAGAGACTTGGTGACGAGGGACAGCGGCTGGGGCTGCCCGGCCAGGGCGCTGTGGGAATGTAAGGAAGAGGTCGAGGGCTGCGCCACGGAGGCCGAGGGGGGCAGGGGCGGCTGCAGAGCGGCGGGCGGCAGGTCCAGGGCCCCGTTGGGGCAGAGCGCGGGGGCCTTGCCGTGGGCGGCCTCGGCCAGCAGGAGCGCGGGCGGCGGAGGCATCATGGAGAGGTGGGCCAGGGGGTCGGGCTTCAGGGACAGCGAGAGAGGCTGGGTCTGCTCAGTCTGCGCCTTGGCGTCCTGGGGAGGGGAGCCTAGCAGGTGAGGGGAGGGAGGAGGCGAGTCTAGTAAGCTTCCATCTGAAGAGGGTGGACTGAGGCAGCTGCCTTCACCTTGTATGTAGCGAACGCACTTTTTTTTTCGCCTAGAAACAGGGGGAGAGAGTTCTCGGTGAATAAAGGGCAAGGAGGCCGCGGCAGTTACCTCAGCTCTGAGCCGCGGAGCCCCCTGGCGGGGGGCGCCCCTGGGCCAGAAGGCCATTCTCTGAGGCCCAGGTGCCACCTCACTGAGCTCCGGCCGCCCCTCGGCCTGCTCTGGCAGACAGGACACTCAGGAGAACTTCCTAACCTACCTGCTTCCCCTGCCCCACTCTGCACCGCGGCCCGCCCCGTCTCTAGACCAGTGAGGAGCCATGGGGAGATGGATGGTGGCACCCACTGGCCAGAAAGCGGCTGTGTCCGAATGGAGGTGACAAACTGGCTCTCTCTGCTGGGGCTTAGGCACCCCCTCCTCCCCCCATCATCACGCCCATCACTACTGCCATTCCATTCCCATCACTGCCACCCCCCCAGTGGAGAGAGAATGTGTGTGTGGGTGTGTGAATATTGTGTGTGTGTGTGTGTGTGTGTGTGTGTGTGTAAAAGAGAAAGGCTGAGCTCCTTCCCAAGGTGCCTCAAATCAACAGGAACTTCAAAATGCTGGTTGTTGAGCCCACAGAGCTGAGGCAGTGCTAGCAAAGAGGCTGGAGGTCTTAACCCACCACCACCACCACCTCCACCTCCACCACCACCACCTCCACCAAGCTGCCCAGGCCCAGAGAACTTTCAGGCTTGTCTGTTAAGAACCACACCAAATCAAGAGAGGTCAGAATCAGGTGAAAGGAAGGGAGAAACAAAAAGAAAACAAAATAAACTAAAAACAAAACAAAAACAAAACAAAAAACAACAAAGGAAAAATAAAAAATAAAATAAACCACCAAAAACAGGTAGAAGAGGATAAATGAAGGTGGGGGAAGGGGAAGAATAAGAAAAACAGAAAATGACCCAAAGGAACGAGAATAACTGGTTGTATGGCCTGCAGGTTGTGGATTAAATTAGGATTCAAACTTGATTTTTTTTTCTCCAAGACTTGGGGTCTTCCCCTCCCCCACCCCAAAAGGCTGGAAGGAGAGACATCCCGCCCCTGTCGGTATGCCGAGGTCCGTGGGTGGGGTGCGGCGTGTCACAAGAAGTGACGACCAAGAAGAAGTGCCAGAGGGATCGCGGTGTGGACTTTCCCAGGGAGGACTGTGGTGATCGTGTGAACCAGAAAGACTGATTTTTGCCCTGCACCAAAACCAGCATCTTCCCTCTCCATACCCGTTTATGTAAGAAATAGGAATGAGCATTTCAGAGCCTCTCTTGTTTAGCACAAAGGTTGGAGCAATCAATTCAAGAAAGTGAGCATGTGACCTCAAAGCTTCTCCTGCTAGTAACAGTAATCCCAGTCTGGTAGGACAGTATTTGGTAGGGAAGGTGATCTGGGGGTTCACGCCACTCGTGATAAAAAAAGTAACGCAGGCACCGGTCGTGCTGTCTCAGGACCCCCAGGGTAAGTCAGGGCAGCGGCTGGCACTCCATCTGACAACCGGCATGCGAGGGCCAGCTCACTTCCCACCCCTGGAAAGCACCCTGGATGCTGCCGGGTTGAAGGCAACCCCCGTCAGACGTCCCTGTCCTTTGAAAGGAAGGGTGTGTGGTGAGTTCCTCCTTGGGTCTGTGCCCCAGAGCTGTCTTATCATGCCCCTCAGTGCGTAAGGTGTGGACTCAACAAGATGGCAGGAGGGAAGGGAGGCAGGGAGGTGGCGAGGGTCCATGCTAGGTCTTCCCTTCCTCCCAGAGGCTGAGGCCCCCCCGGGCTGCTGACCTCAGGAACCTTGGGGCCTACCCATCACCCCTCTGGGTGGGAAGGAACTCAGGGGTGGCCAGGGCAGTCTCCCCCAACCTCTACTGGGTCAGGTTACTTCTTCTCCTCTGGGATAGATGGTGGCTTCTGCTCCCACCCCAGAAACCCAAGGTAAGTAATTAGCCTCTCAGAGTTTTAAACCACCTCAGCCTGCAGATCAAAACATGCTCCAAAAACTAAGATGTCCATGCATTTTAAAAATGGGAGAAGGTAGAGGGTAGGCATGGGATGGGGTGGGATGGGATGGGGCATAAGCAAAACTGAGAAAGCAACAGGGAGCGATGAGAGAGAGAAGAGGAAAGGGAGTGAGAGAGAAAGGGGAAAACCGACAGGAAACGGGGATGACACCCAACAGCATTCCATGCTATATTAGGGCAGAGTGAGAAGACGGACAGCAACTTGGTGGGCTCAAAACAGAATCTTGTTAAAATGTCCTCAAATGTCAAATAAAATTAGAAACCCTGTGTAGCAAGCGAGGAGGCCTGATTGGCTAGGAGCGGGTCTGGTGTTCTCTCCCCTCCCCCCTGCTCAGGACCTCACCAGGGACCCCAAAGGGGCAGGCTGACACACAGGACGCGCGGGCTGTGAGTGACGGAGCCATGCTCCTTTCTGACGAGTGGCTGGGGAAAGGCAGCCAAGCCAGGGCACACACAGGTCTGACAGGCCGGGAAATGCCTCGTTTTGCAACTGTTTTCCTTTTAAACCTATTTTGTCCTATTGATTTAGCATCAAGCCTGGCAAAGTTATAAGAGGAAAAGTTGAAGGAAAAAGGACCAAGCCCACCCTCCTGTTCTTCCCCACCCGCCTAGCCTCCCTCTCCACCAGGACTGGGAGCTTAAAAATTCACTTTTAGCTTCTTATGGATTTATTCCGAGAGGAGACAGAGGCTTCTTCCTGACCCTCTTTTGGAATTACACCCTTAAAAAGAGTGGAAGCGCATCTGCTTAAAGCTTGACGGGTAGAAGAAAAATGTTTCTAATGGTCCTGAGGCAGGACAGTGACAAGTGGTGGGGGACTCAGGGACACCAGGAAAACGGCAAGGACGGGGCGGCCCCCCCGCCCCCAAGGTGTACTTTCGAAAACCACGCAGCTGAGACAGGAGCAGTTACAGAGGGCTGGGCTTTTGTTTAGTTATTTGGGGATGTTTTGGGGGGCAGGGACGGGGACTGTCATGAGAAGTCTTGTCTGAGGGAGGGCTGTGTCTGAGAATGGGTGTCTGTCTGGGTCCACGTTAGTACTGATGTCTTGCAGGAGAAAAGGGCCGGGTCTACGGTGTAGCAACTGCTTCCTGAAACGAGAGGTTCGTGAACCCCCACTTGCCCCTCACCAACCAAACAGAGCCTCCGGCCACACACCACACCACAAGGTGTGCCCGCCGCACGGTCCCAAACTGGGACAAAGCCCCCTGGGGAGTGGCCCAAGGTGGGGGTGGGGGTGGGGGAGGTGGTCTCGGAAGGGGCTCAGCCGACGTTCTGACACAAGTTCACTGCTGAGAAAGGGCAAACAGCCCGGCTTCCCGGTGAGCTTAATAAAAACCTGACGCCTGCCCACAGCTTCCTTGTGAGACTGCTGCACGTCAGCCACCTGGGACTGTGGCCACGGCTCGCCTGTCTGCCCTGTGAACACGGCTGCCTCCGTCTCACCCTCTCTGCTGCTGGGTGTTCACCCGAGGCCCCGCATCCTTACTGGGGCGGCAGTGGGTCGCGGGTGGATTCCCTCTCCCTAAACACTCTGGAGCCCCCTCTCCCCTCAAGGGCTGGTCAATACGAAGCACTGCATGGATCTCTCGTAAGGCGTCAGGGAGAGGGGAGAGACACAGGAGACTCGTGGGCATGCACGTGATGGGATGGACATCTGAGCTAACGTCTAAACACGGACACATGGCGGAGGCATGGCGGAGGGACACGTGACAAGGGACGCACTACAAACAGGGAGGCGTGTCGGGGTGTTGCGATACCTACCATCATAATATTCCAAATTCAAAGACTGCTTGTATCAGAACAAAGAAACAACAAATTTAACCGGAGGTGGTCATTCAAGTAAAGGAAGTGAGACAGGAACAGTGGGCAGCCCTCCACCAAGAAGGAAGTCCCTACACCTTCCCTGCATTACTGGTTGGCCGGGAGCCTGCAAGTGGGTCACGGGTGTTTAATGTGGGCGCTTCTGTTGTCAGGGGACCAGCGCTCTTTCTCGCTCTCTAAGTGGAGGGCCTTCTCCACCCCGCAGGCCAGCAGCACTGCGCTCCGTGACTGCACGACCCCATGCATGCAGCCCTTCCGCTGGTGCCTGCCGTTCAATGCCACGCTTCTTGTCAGCACTGTAAAACAATGTCAGCTACCCGAGCGCCTCTGTACAGAGACATGAGGTTTGGAAACATAAAACGAAACAAAACAAAACAAAAAATAAAAACCACAAAAAGCCTGCCCGGAGCACTGCTCCACAGTGTCTGGGCTCCGAGAGGAAGGGGGTTCTACTACTGCTAAGTTCGAGCTTCTCCGACCTCTGGAGACAGTGGGTGTCTACGCTCGGCGTGCGTGCCCCAGGCGGCCCGTCCCTGGGTGCTGGCTTTCAACGCCAGAGGCCAAGTGCCCCTCCCGGTGTGTTAGAGCCTGGTCTCAGTCCTACCACCAGGGACGTGTGCTAGTTGTAAGAGCAGGGGCGGGGGATGGGAAAGAGAGAGAAAGAGGAAGGTGGGGAGTGGACACGGCATAAAATTAGCAAAGAAATTTTGAAGATTGAGGATCATTAGTCATTGATGCCAGCAAGGAAGGAGATGGGAACGAGGTCAAAATACATCGACACTCTAAGGTATCAGAAGGACAGAACGCTTTGATTTTCCCAAAGGCCTCCAAGTGGTAATATACCTGCACGGTTTGCACCATAAAGTCTGTCGGTCAAGCCCGAACAGTGCCCGACACTTCTTTGGAGTATTTGCATCTGTTAGCATAAGGTAAACACAAAAAAATACAAGGCAATGGTGGGTGGTGCTTAGTTGGTTGTGGAATCTCAGCTACCGCTGACTTGTCTTCTACATCACCTTGGTTCTATTTGTCTTCCCTCACCAAGGACATGAAAGAAAATGACTTCTATGAGTCAAAAGAAAAAAAAAAATAAAATAAAACGATAAAACACAAATAAAATAAAATAAAATAAAAACAACAACCAGAAACCATAAAACAACAAGGAAAAATAAACAAAAAGAGAGAGAGAAGAGGCGGGGAGAAGGTGACGTCATTTGCTTCTACCTAGGCCAGGATGACGATGGAGGTCACTGAGCCCCGTCCTGGCGGCCATGAGGAGGAAGGGGGCTGGCAGGGAACGTTCCCTGGGAGGGGGCGCGCTGGGGTTTGCTGTCGCTGACCCGAGGAGGCACAAATGATGCTGTTTTACAGTGGCATTTTGGCTAGCAGCAGCAGGGAGAACAAGCACGCCCTCACAGAGCCCGTCGCACCTGGCAGTGTCCCACGCCCCTGAGTCTCCTCTAAGATCCACACACAGAGCTACAAAGCAACAGGCCAGAGAAGGGGGAAGGACCGAAGAGACCAGCTGCAAACCAGCACAGCGAATCTGGGAATCTATACACACCTGCAAGGGCCGCACCAGTTATTCTGTTGATCAAGGCCAAAGCGCGCTCGGCATTTCTTAGGAGCGCTCAGGTCTGAATGAGTTCAAGAAAGAAGCGAGCAGAGGAGGAGGAGGAGGACGTGGGAGAGAGGAGAGAGAGAGAGGAGGAGAGAGAGAAGGAGAGAGGGAGGGGGGAAGAGAAAGATACAAATAAGAAAAAAATAAAAATAAAAAAGGGAATAAATCAATGACCTGGTTACTAATTACAAAATATTGACTTTCGATTTTTAACTTTCTTTAATTAAAAAAAAAGAAGGTAAAGATCACATTCTTAATCAACTGGTGAAATTAGCTGATGCAAATAAAGCTGCAGTATCCCTTCTTTAAGGACTGTCTCTCAGATTCAGTTTGAGCTGATACAAGGAAGCTAGATACTGAAGAACGAGCTTTGATAAATCGTTTTTTTTTTTCCTCTTTTGGTTCTGCATTCTTTTTTTCTTTTTTCCTCTCAATTTGTTTTTCTTAAAGAAGAAAATAAAGCGAAGGAGGGAATTAAGTTTGTAACATGCTTTTTTCTTCTCAGAGTATAACAGTTTAATAAAGAAACAAAAACTACAAATAAAAACAGAACAAAATGAAACAAAACAGAAAGAAATAAAGAAAGAAAAGGGTGGTGGGACTGGGATATTGCAGCTTTTGGAATGTTCATCTTGTCTTTATCTATTTTCATTAATATCAAGAGAGGAACAGAAAGAAACAGGCTGTGTGAATGAGCTGTTAAGAGTTAGTGAGACGCTCACAGCAGCATTTAGGCAGGTACCGGTCAGTAAAATGCGGGTGGATTTGCAAATTATGAGCAGAAAAAGCAAAAGGAAGAAAAAAACTAAAATAAAAAAAAAGCAAAGGAAAAAAATAATCATACTGCGGGATGCATGCTTGCGTGAGAAAACTTAGTGGGAGGATGAAAAAAATGCCATTAGATTAAGGAGGTTTATTACTGAATTCCTTCCATTTTGGTGGTTTTGCTTTTTTGGTTTTTTAATTTTTTTAACCAGTCTCTCTTAAAGAAATACTGCATATTCAATTTGCACAGTTAGTTCAACTCTAAGTCACTGTCATGGCTGCTTAAACAACTGTTATGGGAAAAATAAATCAATAAACAAAGCAGAAGTTAAATTAAACTCAAAAAACAACAAAAGCAACTGAAAAAAAAAAATCTACCGAAACATACGAAACCGTGTAGATGGTCATTTTAAAGAATGTTCAAATGTCATACGTGTTTGATGTTAATAGAACTAGAATGGCAAGAAAAATTAAAAAACAGTTTATCAACTATTTTAATGACTCAAAATGACATTAGCACCTGTAATCGGAGGAAGTGAAAGGCAAGGATTTAGGAAACATTCGCTGTGTTCTGAAAAAAAAGAACAAATTATACAAAGCCTTCAAAATTTTGTTGTTGTTTGTAAAAGCCTGGCTTTCTCCAAGGGACCTGAGATTGCCTATGCAGTATTTCTAATTTCTTCTAAAGAATGACAAACCTCCTTAATTTAAATCGGGTGCAATTTACCACTGTAAAGGCATGCATCAGAACATTCAGGAGCAGCCCAGTTAATATCAAACACTCACACACGCCCTCCCACTCCCCAGCCCCTCCTCACCCCTCCTCAGACACACACAACGTAAGCAGACTGCATAACCGGCCTAGGCATCCCTGCCCTCTCCAGTTACCGGCTCTGCAGTTATTTAAAACACATTCCACTAGAATTACAATGTGCTTTTCATGCAACAATGAATGTTACTAGCTTTAAAAGGGCAGTCATGAAGCAATTAATTAAAATGCATAAACAAAAAGGCTGGCTAAGATGGGTTCCCCCACAATGTCCTGGCCTTGAATTTCTCCTGCCTCCCCCACACTGAAGCCTAATATAAGAGAGTGGCCCTCAGAGCACCGCGCCTTCCTCCATTCTCATTATTCTAACTCACCATTGGTCTCTCCGGGCTGCTTGTCCCTTTTCCTCTTCTTCTTCTTCCCCTAGGTGAACAGATGAAACACAGGGAATTATTTCAAGACACCCACGGGAGCAGGGTTTCTGGGCTCACCCGGGAAGCAGGCGAGAGGGGGAGGGGAGCTGCTGCTATGTCCAGCCACAGGGTCCAGGAGTCCTTGCAACTGCCTCCCCCCACCCAAATGCCCTTCAGTTGTGCCGCAGGAGGAGACAGGAAATGGGATGGGAGTGGGGAGAGTGAGACCTCCTGTTCCTCACACCTAAGTGAGCCTCATGCCAGACTCAGAGCACCTGACTCCATAAAAGGGAAGAGGCGAGCTTTCTACTACAGGCATAAAAGACGAGGAGGGCCAGGGAGGGGCAGTGAGGTCACAGGGCACCTCGGCTACCACACCCCGTGAAGCTCCTCCTGTCGCCTGGACCCTGGTTTCTAAAGAGGGAAAGGGGTTAAAAAAAAGGGGGGGGAGTGGGAAAAAGAACCAGAAATCATCTGACCTCCTTTTAAAACTGAGGGAACATCCACCAAGGAAGGGAGGGAGGTTCTCCCCGTCCTCCACAGCAGATGCCTCACAAGCGCTGACATCCAGGGACCATGGGCCACGTGCCAGGCGTGATGCTAAATGTGCTTGAATTTTTACCCACTGTCCTCACACAATCCTACACACTAGCACACTCCAATTTTACAGGGATGGAAACTGAGGTGCAGAATGACCTCACTTCCCTCAGACCACACAGAACACAGAGGGAAGGGTGATGACAGCCCTGACCCTAGAGGGTGTTCAGTGCCCCCTAGCAGGAGGGCGATGGATGAACTGCACTTGACATTCACATTCGCCCGAAAACGACTCTCCGGGCACGGGTCTGGGGCAGAGCTGTGGACTTGAGGGCCTCATGCTACACCTCTCACCCGCGGGCACAGGCCCTGTTGTAGGGACGAGCTGCCTGACACAGGAGGCCAGCAAGGCATGGCCTCACACCTCCACCTGTGCCAGGTGTCCCCTTTCACCTCTGCCTGAAGCAACTCCTGGCATGCTGCTGTCAACCGCAGAGAACAGCGCAATGGCAGAGAGCTTGGGGACCCACTGGCAGGGGTGCCACAGCTGTCCCAAACACCCATTTTACAGAAGACCCTTCTTTACTCTCAGATCTCGGGGCCCCTACCCACTGGGGAATCTGTCTTGGCCTCCAGTTCTGTGGCTCTTTTTGAAGCACTTTGTTTCGTAACACACATTGATAAAAGGAAGCGCTCAGGGGCCTCTCCTGAGTCTCAGCGCTCCTTTCCTCACACAGGTGTCCCCCATATAAGGAGCCAGGAGCTGCCCGCCATCTTGCAACAGGCAGGAGGGTCTAGTTACAGTGCATTTAGGAGCCTGAAGCAAAGACTCAACTGGGTACAGAAACACCCCAACCTCAGGCGGGGGTTGGCATCACACGCCTAAGGGCTGTTCAGCCCGCAATCCAGAACAAACACCTTCTGGCCTCCTGAGTGATGCTGGAGAAGCAGCTGGCAATCCGCCACCTGTGGGCAGTGTCAGTTCTGGACACTTGACTGAGATGTCCGTGCCTGAGGGAATGACCGTCTAGACAGAGAGCTTCCAGAGGACGGGGGTTGTGTTTTAAGCGGAAGAGGACATGAATCGACGTAAATATTACTGAGTGAAGACAAAGACACTTCTCAGGGGAGATGGTCACTCCATTAGTTCTTTAAAAGTAACAAAGAAAGACAACGCCACATACAGGGAAGGAGCGTTCAGATGAGCAAATGGCCTAGGACTTACAGGATTTATCTTTTACCTAATCTAGAAGAGGTAGGGAGGGAGGAGGGAAGAGTGTGGCTGTGAGTGTCTTTTCATCCTCATGCATAATGAGACATTCTGACAGGACTCTCAAAGTGTCCCCTACCAGGGAGAAACATCCTAGACCCCCAAAATCTAGCTTTCCATCCAAACATTCCCAGGGCTCCCCCTATGACAACAAATCTCTTCCAAATGTAAAACCCGAGATGAAGCCATTGACCTTCACGAATGGCCTCCGCCAACGCACTGACTTCCCAGCCAGCTCACCGCCGCCGATCACAAAGCAATCACAACAGCGGCCTGCAGCTGTGGAGGTTTCCCCTGCACAACTCCAGCGGGCACCAGGCACGTGGACCACAGTGTCCACGGCACATTCTAGAGTTGAGCAGTGCACACCCTTGCACAGCTGGACAGGAAGGTCCCATTACAATCCAAAGAGTCCACAGGGGGATGGGATCTAGAGGGCAGCTGGATGCCTCTTGGTGGTGCCACTCTAGACGGCTCAAAGAAGTGAGTGTGTAGCAGGTAAAGCCAGAGATGAACTCTGAGCGCTTCTGGCCAACCCCAGGAGAGAGCAGCTGTCCTGAAATGAGGCGGCTGTGCGTGCAGAGGCTGCAGAGCCTGCTGCAGGGAAGCCCCACCCCGAGGTCAGGTGGGGTGAGCAGGGAGCCTGTGGGAGGGTGTTCCCTTTCTCATCCTTTTCCTTTCAGCTCCAGAAGAAAGGCTTCCCCACTGCACACACGCTGAGGACAAATGGAAAGGCCCCAAGCAGGTAAGACCCCGTGTGTGCCCATCCGTGAGTGACAGGGCCCTGAGCAGACCCAACGTGCCCCTGGGAGGCGCTGGCGCTGGTTCTGTTTCAGAGACCAGGAGGAGCAGGGCCCACTGCTGCCGGGCAGTGGGACCCAGAGGGAGAGAGGCGAGGGCAGCGATGAAGCCATGGAACGCAAGCTTCTCTGCCAGCCACATGGGGAGCAAGCTGGCTAGCCTGCCTGTGTGGAAAGGTAGGAGACAGCGCAACAATTACGCAGAACAAGAAGAAAACAACCTGGGCCGGGCACCCACGAACACAGAGACGCGGTGACTCCCTGGCGGCTGCTACGTCTGGCGAGAGTGAGCGTGTCTGGTTAACGCTGAACCCCACGCACACACTCAATCTGCCGTCAGATATGACTAACTGGACCTCAAGCCGCGTTCACGAAGAGCCTCTCCATCACGATGACATTCGCAAGGGAGAGAGGTCAGGGTGCACGGACTGGGAGGAAACCCTCGGGCCCCTGCCACGGACAGGCCGTGGGAAGAGAGGCTTGTGGGTGGTAAAATCACGACCTAAAGCCGAACGGCACATGTAAAGTACTAGGCCCAGTGAGGGACATTTCTTCCATCTGCAACTTGAGCAGAATAATGAACGGTTAGAGGAAGGAGGAGGGCAGCAGAGGGGAGCCCACGGGGGCAGCCACATCGCCGTGACAGTGGAAACGAAAGTCCTACAGCAACACACACGTCACGACACAGCCTCCTGGGCCCTCACGGTCTGAGTCATTCCACCTAGACGGCCAAACTGATTGCCACTGGTTACTCTCAGGGCTACTCCCATCATGCACCTCTCAGGATGAACCTGGCTCCTGATATCTCTTGTACCACAGCATGGGGTGATTGTTTTGTTTCTCCCTCCTAAGGGTAAAAGCCCCGCTGGAGGCACAGTGAGGGAGTAAGCTCTGCCTCCTCTCATAAGGACAGGTATTCCCTTGAAAGGCCAATCACGCCTCCCTGCTGGGAAGGATGAAGAACCCAGGCCAGGACATATTAGCTGCCCTGGGTGGCCACTAAAGCCTCGTCTCTTCAAAGCCATGGCATGAAGGTGTGGACAGATCCAAGTACCTCAGGGGGCGCCAACCGGGACCCAGTCTCCTCCCCGAAGACCGAGCACGTGTTGATGGACTCGTACTAGAGGCTAAGAAAAGACCCTCAGCCGTCTGGGCAAGGTGCTATCGGCCCCCAACGCGGGGCAATTTGATGGCTTTGAGGCCTGCTTCAAGCTGGTGGTTCCAGTTCCTTCTGTTCCTGTGCACGTCCGACAGGCCCCACTACAGACTGTGCTAAGGTGCAAAGCGATCCACTTACATAGTTATCCCGGGCAGACCAGCCGGGGTACAGCTGCATGTGAAGCTGTCGCTCCTTCCGGGCCAGCTCATAGTATTTTGCTTGTTCTTCTCTGGACAGCGCATGCCACTGGTGGGAGACATGGGTGAGAAGCGTGCAAAAGTGTCACCAACCACACAGCACCTGGGTGTGGACACTGTCGCCCACTAGAACTGGTGTCATGGGCGGGGCTCGGCGGGGCCCTCCGGAGCAGGAGTCGCACAGACCGAAGGTCACATCTCAGCCAGCGCTGGCTCCCGCTCGGCCTCGGCTTCCTGAGACTGCTCCGGACGCAGAACTACTGGGCTTGGGTCTACCAAGACCCCCGAAGGAGCCAGGATGTGGTCTAAGGGAAAGGACTCCCCGCGCACTGGGACCCTGGGCCACCCCGCCCGCCATGTGCCGGCCCCCTCGTCCCTCTTCTCAAGGGCAGTCGCCTACCCTTCTCCCCAGGATCTGGTTGATGGCGGCACTCTCTTTCAATGTACACTCAGCTACAACCTTCGCTCTCATTTCCTTCATATACAACATGAACGCGTTAAGGGGTTTCTTTATGTGGGGTTTCTTCTTCTCTTCTTCCTTTTTGGAGTCCTGATGTTTTCTGGGTATGACAAAGCCGACAGACACAAGCCAATAAACCATCACAAGACCCAACTTCCTCCAGAGCCCATGTCCCTGGTGCCTGAACTCCCCAACCTGGTAATTTTGCATAAAAAGTCTGCTTCTACTTTCGGTCTTCTCCACCCTGAATGCTAAAACAAAAGTGGCCTGGAAGGGTATGTAGAGGGGAGGAGATGGAGTTCGTCACCACTTCCTCATGCTTAAGTGCATGACTTCCCTAGGCCAAGGGGCGAGAACGCCGGGCCACGTCTGCTTCCACGTGCATCTCTCGTGGCCCCGGGACAGAGTCCCAAATGTCCAGGCAGGGGCCCAGGGTCACATCCCCTTGGTTGCAAATCCCCATCCATCCAAGTACAGCTAGCTCCCCCCTCACCCACAGGAAATACATCCCAAGACTCCAGAAGAGGCCTGAACCCGCAAGCAGTACCTCACGCCTTACTTCTACTAGGCATTTTCCCTCTACATCTGTACCTGAGATAAAGCCGAATCTGTAAATCAGGCACAGTAAGAGATTAACAACTGCTAATAAAACAGAATGACTGCCACAGGGCCGGGGAACAGCTATGTGAGCGCGGTCTCGCTATCGCGCACTGAGGACCTTACTTAGCGTTTGGAATCTTCTCAGACCACGGTTGACTATGGGGAATAGAAACCCCGGAGAAGGGAGGGGACTGTGCACTCACAGAAAGGGTCCAGCATGTACCCCTCCCACCACTGCCCGCCCCTATACCGTCAGGGAACTCACTCCACCCTGTGCACTGTCTGCTTCTGTGCAAGGGTCCAGAGCAGGGTTGGGGAAAGGGTCCCAGAGACGTATGACAGGTCAACTGTGGCCCCCGGGGGTGAGGGCCGAGGAGAGTGCCACCAGAAGCGTGCCACTTACGAGCTGTGGAGGGAGCCCACGTCACTCTGGGAGGATTCCTGCTTCACGGTTGGCGTGACGATGGCCGGGTGAGGGATGCCGGTCGTGTGGAGAGTGTGATGTGGTGGGACCATGTGAGGGGGGAACCTGGAAGACAGGAAGCTGTGTAAATCGTCAGAATCAAAATGAATGAATGGGGAGGAATGTGTACACACAATTTAAAAAAACAACAGCCCATAACACGCACATGAAAGCAACTCAAGGCATATGAAAGCTGTCAGCATTAATTAGCGATAAATTAAACATAATCATTCTCATAATGTCATTAAAGCCAGTCTTCCCCCTTCATGATTGCTGCTGACATGACACATTACGATTTTTAACATCTTTAGCAAAAAACAAATTCGACGGATATACTTGGGCTGAAAGTAGTCTTGGACTAACCTGCTGGAAATCACACGTCCCTTTGTTTTCGGGAGGTATTATTAGTGGCATCTAAGAAGACAATTTCCTAAGTCCTAATCAGCTCTAGACTGAACGGTGAAATCTTTTGTTGCATATTGACAGCTAAATAAAATATTAATGCAGCTGAAGTATACACACATTTTTCACAATGCTGTGCAGGCCTCATTAGGCCTCATTCTGTTGATGGAGTGCATAAAATTTTTATTTTCCTTTTGCTGCTGTGCCTCATTGTTTTGACAGGAATAGGAGAGAGCAAGGCAGAACGAGGGAGAAAGTCCAAATTTTTCCTATCTGGTTCTCATCATAAGTCATGGATCTTTAAATTAGCTTGTATCCTTCTTACAGAAAGAGGTTGGTGGGAGCCAGTATTTCAGACACACACAGAAACACATGAAGCCTTGAATTCTGATTTACATGCCTTCCCCACTCTAGGGTTCTAGGATTCCTACGTGACTTTTACTTAGAATGTTGTCTATTTGTTGAACATCCTTCTAAATGATTGTCAGAACGGTCAACAAAGGTTGTGATTTCTCTCTTACTACTGTCTATTTTTAGAAAAGTTCTTTAAAGTTCCATGGAGACCCTGGAGGAGCATTTCCCAATCACACAAACCAGCCAGCTAATTTCAACACGCACTTGTCTCAGAGGCAGGCTGACAACCGGTCGCACCAACAATATTCACGTTTTCTGGTATACTCAGGGTCACCGTGATTTGCACTGGGTAGCAGAGCCGCCTCTCCTTAAAGACACACGACTTCAGAGAGAGGCAGAGGAGGCAGAAAGGGTAGAGCCCCAACAGAAGACAAGATGGCCGCCTCCTGGCTCTGTCCCACAAGTCATGTGCATGACACGGGACGCTGCTCACGTGTGTGAAGGGAAAGGCAGGTCCGGCAGCTGCTGCAACCCAAATCACAGCTGTCCCCCACACACCGTCCTGAGAATGCTGACCTGCTTCCTAGAAGCCAGTCCTGCGGGAACCAGGGTGCTAACAAGGGCATTATCAAGAGTAAACCGCCTTTATTCACAAGGTAGATCAGAAAGTGGACTAGTTTCCATTTTTTCCACAACAGAGCAAATGTTAATTTGAAAAGAGGCTGGGCAGTCAAGGTTGATGGAATATGTACAGATCCACAGAAAAAACACAGAAAAAAACTACTGAGAATCACAGCGGACACTTGACTTAGAAATTCCATCCCAAGGTCAGTCCTGCTGCCACAGCCTTTACAGATCTAAGCTGGTATCAAAGTTCGGTGACAAGGACATCAGATTTTGTAAGACTCATGAACATCTGTTAGGTTGTGTCCACCCCCTGCCCACCCCATAAAAAAAAAAGGAAGAAAAATAAGAGCCTATGAGAAAGAGAGCCCACCCACACCCCATCCCACCCCACAACTCCCCTTCCCCCTGAAGAAATGAAAACCAAGCCCTGGGGTGGCACCTGGGCACACCTTGTCCCTCCCACTGCTCCAAAGCCTCAGAGGAAACACGAGTTGAGAACATGTGTTCCTGGAAGCCCTTGGGTGAAGTGGTGGGCGGAGGTGCAGCTTTTACTGTGAGTTTTAAGGGCCTGACATTCCTCAAATACATATGTTCCCTTCCTGTTGAATGACAGTATGTGTACAGACATGGGGGGGGGGGGCGGCGGCGGGAGATCCAGAGTGGAAGGGGGGAGGAAGAGAAGGAAAGAGGTAAAAAGTACCATGTGTGTGCACAGGCAGGCACCCCGATTTGTGTACAAGTGGGGTGGAGAAAATCTTTCGGGTGCAGGCATGAAGAAAACCTCCACACTTGCTCACACCCCTGAAGTGAGACTGTGTGCGTGTGTGGTGAGTGTGAACAGTGTGCATGCCTTCACTTAAGAAATTTCTTGCCGCAGACAACTATTTCATGCAATGCAATAAACACCCTAAAAATTCTAAGCAGCTCATTATATTCCCCCGTCTGCTTTCATGGCTCCAAGCCAGAATATAATGATGAACCTTAACTTGTTAAGGACAACTAATTTTTGTTTCTGGCTGTCTCAGGGGCTTCTCTCTTACTCACTCTCACTTTACTTCACTGTGACACGTTTCTGTTAACTGGATGTCATCTGCCGGCCTTGATTTTATGCACAAGCAGTAGGATGCATTTTCCTCTGCAACAATCCTGCTTTGAGTTGCATTAGGTTTGTCATTATTCTCTCATTTTCCCCCTTGCACTTGTAACATTTCATCTCTTCCTGCCTTATTTTTTGTGAGCCACGGTACACCCACATTATGGTTTATACATGATCTCGCTCCCTTTGAAGCCGGCAGATTTCAGAGCCCGCTCTCGTCAGGAGAAGAGCCTTGCTCCAATTTAGCAGGCTCAGGGCCCGGAGCTCCAACATCTCAATCTAAAGGGGGTCACGGGTGGCACAAGTGAGTGTCAGCAAGAGCTGTTTAATTGCCAATCTAGGCTTCTCCATGGTGTTTAAAGTATAATGACCCATCACTTAATTCTGAGAAGTCCTGGCCCGGCTGCTGAATAGAATGAATATCAAAGGGTGTTCTGGAACAGGGCAAGCTGTCTACATTCCCTATAACTGCCATAAGTATAATAGACCTATACTTCTGTCGCCCCATTACCACAATAATGTATTTAATTTGCTGTATATGCTTTTTAACTAAGCTACCTTTCATAAGGCCTACCTGGGGAAATCGGCCGCCTCCCCCCATACCCACCCCCCCACCTCGAGCTCCTAACCTTTCCTCCCACAGTTTCCTTCCTTGCCTCCTCCCCCTGCCCACCTATAAATCATCGACTAACCTCCTAATGATCATTCAATCGATCAGCTTAACCCCGATCCCTATCCTGGACTGCTTCACTGCTTTTAACTGCTGGAATGGGCCAAATACACATGAACAACAATCAGGTGTATCACAGAAATGCTGGTTCAGAGGGAGGATGAGATGGTGTTGTAAGCTCCTAAGAGATTTTCTATTTGTTCCCACGCTTTGCAAGGTTGTGATGACGTTATTTAATGAACATAACCTTCCTCTGCTGCCTAGGGACAAGACAAGGCATTTTCCCACCTTACAAAAAATGGGTGGGATTTGGAAATTGAGAGGCTCCATCGCACATCAGAAACATCTCTAAAATGGCATGACATCCATGGCATAACGATAATTTATTTTTATTTATGTATGTGATTCTCTTAATGCAGTGATGCAAAATCATTCTTTGAGACCCAGGACAAGCGCCTCGTGGTCTACCTTTCTAACCTTTTCTTTGGTCTTGGGCCCCCCATGTTGATTACAGAGTTTGGGGGGAGCGGCTGGGGGCAGTATCCTTGCCATGTAATGCATACTAATTTAATTATGTGCCATCATCAAAATGGATTAGTTGTTGTAGTCCATCAGGAAAGTCTAAACCTCCACCGATTTAATTAACTTGACCGAAAATCAGATGAACAAAAAATAAAACTATCATTAGGAGCAATTAGTGACTACTTAAATATGCTGCTGCCAACCAGTTTGTAAATAAACTAACAGTCACTGAAAAATTAGCCAGAATTAATTAGAGGGAGGAAAAGGATAACACAGGGGTGAGCAGGACCTGGGCACATGTATACAGGGTACTGCATAGATTCACATGTGGGAAGATGGCATAATCATAAACACGGAACTTTGGTTTAACCTTCAAAGATTCTGCGCTGCGAAGGCCAGTGCGGCAGTCACCAGCCACAGGCAGCTGCCAAGCACTTGAAAGGTGCCAGCAAGTTGAGATGTGCTGTGAGTGTAAAACACACATCGGATCTCAGAAACTAAGTACAAAACGGAAAGTAAAACCTCATTAGAAACTGCTGCAGTGGACATGAGTCAGTCCCATTCTGACTACATCAGGATGAATAAAATAGCACTAAAAATCATTCATTTTTTTTAACCTTTTAAAAGTGTTGCTAGTGGGCCCTCCCCGGTGGCACAGCGGGTTACAGCACAGCACTAAGAAGCTAAAGCCACTTCAGCATGGGTTCGATCCCTGCCCCGGAGCTGACCCACATGGCGCGGCAGACCTCTCCTGACCCGCCCGCTGCTCCCCTCAGCAGTGCACTTCGTTCTGCTCCCCACTCTGTCTCTGGTGAATCCTCTCACTGCCCCTGAACCTCTGGCCTGTTCCCCAAATCTCTATGCACAAATAAAACAAATCTTAAAAAAAAAAAAGTGTTACTAGTAAAAAACTTAAAAATTCCATACGTGGCGCACCTCACAGTCCTGTTGGACAACGCTACTTTCTGGGGGGGGGGGGGGGGGGAGACGGGGATGGGCGGGGTGAGTCGTACACGCTCCTAGTTCTTGTTGATGCTCAAGTCTGAGCTTTGAAAAGACCAGAAAACTTTGTCAAGCTCTTATTTGCGTAACAGTAAAATGACTTGTCCCCTTTCCTTTCCTACCCAATGAGGCCACAAGAATGGACACATTAAAAATCACCTGCCTATCCTACTTCTGCCTCCTTCGATTCTTAAAAAACATTGCTCAATTGACTCCGAAATTTGCAAGTTTGACATCATGTACTTTGAGAGTCTGGGGCAATTTTTCAGTATTTCCAAGGAATAAAGCTTTATGCTGGGTCCGTCCCCTTACAGCCTTAGAAGTGCGTGAAGCAGCAGCACCGGCCAGGTCTGAGAGGTCACCCAGGGTCTGGACATGAGGTCCCCATTCCTGGAACTCACCTGGACATGGACGCGTTGACGGTCAGAGCTGTGGGGTAGGGGTGGCGGAATCCTCCTGTGGTGATTGGGTACACTGGCTGACCTTGCCTACAAGAGGGGGTACATAGTGAGAGAGCTGCCAATGAGGGTGGGGGTGGGGAAAAGAAAAAGAAGAAAAAGGAAAAGTTCTCTCTGCACAGTAAGCTTTATTCTCATTTGATCAGAACAAAAATCTTGGGGATTGTACAGGAAGGATCAAAGGGAGGAAACACAGAACAATTTGAATGCCATAAATCTGATAGGAATGGCTAATTAAATTTTATAACCTCTGCTTATGTCAATAGAGACCCTCTCCCCAAGCTGAAACTAGGTGTTTTGTTGTAATAATTAAAGGCGAAGTCTCGCTTGCTTTAATGGAGCCATCACACTAATTGAGGGCTACACATCCAAAGGAAAACAATAATGAATGTAAATTTATACCAAAATAAAGTACAGTGAATCAAAGGACTTCAGTTGCGCTTTGGGCCTCTTTCGGTATTTAGATCTCGGTGAGAAAACATTAAATTAACAGAGCTTAATTTGTAGCCTTTTGTCAAATTAACAAGTGTTGACAAGAGTTACCGGGGGGGAGAGTCCCCAAGAAGAATTGTGGGTAACCAATAGACAATCACACCTCATTACAATAATTAAAAAATACAGCAACATGCAAAATAGCATCTTCATGAAAGACACACAACTTTTTCTGACAGAGGGCTGTCTGAGTTGGTGATTCCTTTTTATCTAGCCGTCAGATAGCTCCCGATCGGCTGGATGGCCCGTGTACTGAAGCAGCAACGAGACACAGCTCATGTCCATCCTCCTGGCTAGAATGCAGGAGGCAGAAAACAGTGCTATTTACAGAGCTGTGAGGCAATGAAACTGTTCTTATTTATTTATTAAAAAAAAGGGTAGAACTTGTTCAACTAGAGAAATTAAGGTGGAACTTGGAGTGGGGGAGGGGTGGTGAATCACTCCAAAGTTGTGAAGCTATGAAAGGGTGTCTTCCCTAACACTCAAACCTGAGTGTTACCACTACCTACTCCTGTTAAGATTGAACAAATTGTCCTGTGTTTTTAAAGACTAGACGTCACTGATAAACATGGAGAAAGACACAAAAACACACGATTGCAAAACACAGATTGCATGCACATGCAAACGCGACAGGTGAGCACTCTCTCAAGGCCTTTCTACTCTAACACTAAAACCCACGTTCATGAGTGCTGCTGAGAGGAAGACCCTTGGTGAGGGCCAAACTTGCAAGGTGGCTTTGAGATCTCGGGCCTGCCAGGAACTAGGGAGGAACCTCGGGGACAGCCCACCTGCTGGAGTTGGGGGGCTCAGCCAGCTGCCCCGGGGCCCTCCCCACAATCCCCAGATGAAGCTCTCAACATGCAAAGATTCCTAGAGATGTTGGTGAATAACATGGAGGTTCCCGTGGACTCTACCTTCCCCTGTCATGGCAGCCTAGGAGTGCTGGCTGGGGTGAGGGGCCAGGTGATCTGGGGACTTCGGGCCCAGCCTGACCCCACTCCCCTGTTGCCTCAATCCAGCAGGGGACCCTCGCCAGCATGGTCACCGGCAGAAACGCCACGCTGGGCGTCACTACACAGCGAGGCTCTCAGGACCTTCTGCAATTCCCAAAGAACCTTCTTTTTTTTTTTCTTTAATATAAAGATCCCTCCATCAGATATCACCACTGCAGGATCCCTGCTCCTCAGTCACCACAGTCCACACTGTGGTGCTTCTTCCCTTTTGGTTATCGTGGGTCTTGAGGGATCTTTGCTCACAGAGCCTTTGGGGACCACAGGTTCAGGATATTATGTAGCAGTAACCTTAGCCCTATATAATCCCTCTGCAAGGCGACTGATCGGCCTGCTCTCCCAGGGGCGTTTCCGCAAGCTTCCTCCCCACCCAACCCAGCCCTGTCTTTCCAGCACACCCAGACACACACAGAGTAAATAATAAGCATGCCCATGTACAAAACAAAAAGTAAATTAAAAAATGGAACTCCTTACTGTGGTACTAACCATCCTAGCGGATGGGGAATTTGTCCTACGGTGCCGGGCGAAAGTGGGTAATACGGAGAGATGTCTGGGGGGTGCGGAGGCCGTGGGATTCCTGGGAGAAGAAGCAGCGTTTCAGGGACAAGGAAAGAGAAAGTGGTGGGGGCAGGAGTTGGTGCGTGTCCTCGCCTGCTCCTTCGCCCTGGTGTGAAAACCTGCCTTGTCTCACTCTAGGTTCATCGCCATGGTGGGTAGACTCAGACGGGCTCTAAAAATAGCATCTTGCACTCTTCCTGCCTCAGATAATTGGTGAATTAAAAAAAACAAACTCGGGCTTGGCACACAGTAGGTGATCGATGAAGCACATCTGCTCCCTTGCCTGCACAACCTTCCCTTCACTGCCCGGCTGTGCTCGCCCGCAGGAGACCCACTCTCCTGGTCAGCAACGCTCTTTCAGTTAAGGCTTTGGGGAAAAGTTATCCTTCCCTCCTTCCAGAAATTCAACTCTCTAGAAAGTTTCCACCTCACCTTCGGAGAGTCAAGCTATAGGAGACACTCATCAAATCCCCTGGTGTCTTCTCCAAAGCAGGTCAGAGAGCAGTGAACAGAAAGGCACCTGGGGCCTATGCCCTTGACCTAAACCCCAGTTTGGGGAGGACAAAGTCACCTGTGTGGATCCACACCCCCATGTAAGTACTGCTACACCTTGGGGGCCAAGGCCCTCCACAGGGTCCACGTGAGCGAACCCCGCAGGTCTGGTCCCCGCAGCCTGGCAGCACACCCCGTGACGGGGTCTCAGCAGCCAAGGGCGTGAGGTGTGACTGGGCGCGGGCGTAGCGTGCCGCTGAAGGGGCTCCGGCGAGCCGCCCCCCAGGACTGAAACAGCCTGGAAGGGGATCAGCTGCACGTTCACGGGTGAAAACTCTTTTAATTTTTTTTTTTTTTCCATTTCACTCAGGAAGCTTTTAATCTGTAAATTAAGTCTCCCTGGGTGACATTTTCATGCAGTCATGGCTTGCTCTATTACAAAAACCATAGCGATTAGCTGGGCTTGGGCCCTACACCCAGCCATTCGCACACTTGAAAGAATGTTCGCAGAGGAAAAGTAAACAGTCTGCAGACGTTAATCACATGTTTTATGATAACCATTTAAAAGCTATTCCCTGTGCTGCCGTTATTTAAATGAGACGTAGACGCTGCCATTGAGTCCAGGAGCCCAGGGCCGGCGGGCGGCCTCCTCCAGTCATTCCAGGTCCCCCCTGAGAACAGAGGGGCTCAGAGGCTGTGGGAAACCAGCCAGTGTGTGGCTCCACTCAGGGCCACGAAGGCCCAGCACTGCGCAGGTCCACTGGCATGGACAGGCCCTTTCACTCCCGCCGGGAGAAGCCTCCTGGCTGCTCCTCCGACAAGCACCCGAGTGAAAAGGCTGAAGGTCACTTTCTGCCTGGATTCTGTCTGGGCCCTCTCAGTTCAGTGATGCCAAGAGGAAAGATTCCAGGCTTCGGTTTTCCCATCTGTACAATGGGTCTGATAACCCCCAGGATGTGGTAGAGGAGGAAGAAGCTAAGGAGGTCAGCAAAGAGAACGGGAGCCCAGACACGCGGCCTGCCGGTGCGCCGGCACAAGTTCTGGTCGAGGGCCAGGGCCTGAGGGGCCAGGGCCCGCTCCCAGACTCCCACGAGGGTGAGATACCCCCACGTAGGTCTGAGGCGCTGGGACTCAGAGGCCACTGAGTGGCTCTCAGTCAGGTTGCTGGGGACACCCGCAAATCTTGAGTCCTGGGAGAAGCCCACTTCCATCCCAGGGTCTGCCCCCACCTGCCCAGCCTCCCTTCCAAGGCCCAGGAGGGGAACAGAAGTTCCCCACACACTAACCACCCTCACCCGCACCCCCCGCCGGCCCCAGTCCCTGCCCTCCCCACAGGTGGTCCCGCACCCCAGGACCATCCCTGCCCCTTGGCAGCCAAGCACAAGGCCTACCTGTTTTGGGGTCTACGTCAGCCGGTAAGTGTGGGGGTGGGTTTCCTGGGGTGAAGTGTTCGTTGCTGTACGTGATAAGCGGCGTGAGCGGGTGCACATGATGAGGGTGCTGCACCACCGGGACTTTGTTCGACTGTGGGGAGGATAAGAACAGAGAAAAGACTCCACTGAGGCGGCTCCAGCTGGCAGCCTGAAGGCCACAGGACCCTGGGCGCCCCAACCGCCGCTCCCACCTTGATTTCCTAAGACACACTCACCCCCAAGCCCAGTCCCCCATCACGCAGGAAACTCAACAGACAGCCCTGGTGGGGGGGTGGGGGTGGGAGGTTGTCCCCTGGTAGCTCTGCCTCCCATGAGCCTGGCTTTTACATACATACATGTATACACACATATGTATATACGCATATGTGTGTATATGTGTATGTATATATATAGTTTTTTTTTTTACATCATTTTGTGCCTTTTTCCATCTCAGCTGCAGTCCCTGTGGGAACCTGGCTTTTGAAGACCTGTTCCACCCCAGCGCATCATCGTGGAGCCCAAGCACTTCAACTTTCCCCATCGGCAGGTAAATTGGAAGCAGGGGCTCCCATCTCCCAGCCTACTGAGCGTCTGCTTATGGGGGAGCTCTCCCACTCCAGGGCCCACTGGAGGGACCCAGGAGGCAGGCAGGGGAGCCTCCAGGAGACCAGGCTAGAAAAAACTGGCTACAGGAACCCCAGCAGGGCCCAAATCCACCCATCACCCAGCTCCTGAGCCCTCTGGCCCCTTAGAGCCAGCCAGGTGGCAGGCTGCAATCCTTTGCACACAGCAAGGGGGAAAGCCCCACTCAAGGTCCGGCTGGGAGCTTGGACTTAACCAGAAAGCTCTAAGCTGTGAGGCAAGCGCCTGCATATTTTATGTAGATTACACTGGGCTCGATGCATTAGAAATTTCATTAGGAAGTCATCGGGGAATGCTAATAAATTAACTGGATGATGATGAATTGGGCTAATAAAAGGTATGCATTTTCGAAATGGGCAGTTCTAGAAAACAAAGTACAGGCATTTTTATGTCTGAGAAGACTGGATAGCTGCAGAGAAACTAAGGGAAAAGGCATTTTAAAAGAATTTTTCTCGTTGCCGTGAGCGGGTCTTCCCTTTCGAGTCTCCTCTTTGTCCCCCCCAGCCCCGCTGTCAGCCAACCCCCTCCCCGCCGACCCCGTGCCATGCTATAACTTAGCCCAGGGAGATCACAAAGAAAAAATTAAGCTGAAACAAGCGAACTACTGGGCCATTTACTGAGAGTAATCCAATTGCAAAAAACCCTATTCCCCATAGAGGATTTTCACTAAAATCCTACAACAGGGACATTTAACCAGATTAGGTACCAGCGAAGATAAAGAGCTGAGTATTAGATGATGAATGGATTAGAGTCAAGTTTCATTTCAGAACGTGTCTTCATTTCCTTTTATTACTTTTAGGGAGGCACAACTTGCATTAACATCAAGGAGGAGGAACTGCATGAAAAGAAAAGAAGGTTCCACTGCTGCCCACTAGCGCCTCCTGAGTTTGGGGCCCGCCAGCAGTGAGGCCTTTGTTTTTCCTGTCGTCCTTTTTCTTCTTAATAGGTGAAGAAGGGCACAGTGTGGAAAGAGCATTTCTTATCAGTTAATTGTGGGGAAGGATCTTTAAAGGTGCTCCCCGCTTTTTCGTGGGTGTGTTTGGAAAGGAAAACATGTAACTTCCTACGCCTTCCAGAAGACACTACAGGAAAAGAAGTCACCATCACAAGAGGCCTAGAGACCTGGGATGTCCAGAGAGAGAGGCCAGCTAGCTGTTCTCAGGGCCCTGGGAGGTGAGGCTCCAAAGCAATGAAACTTAAAGTAGCAGAGCGAGAATGCCTGGGAGCCAGGGTGCCCCCAGGTCAGAAGTCAGCAGGTCCAGATAAGACCAAAGGCAGTGGCCCAGGGCTCTGCTGCCCACGGCCAGTGCCAGCCTGTCAGGGGCACGCACTTAGGCATCTCTGACTTGGAAAGTGACAAATATGCTGAAGTGGGGAGGAAAAAGAGGAAGTGAGAGGGACGGGGGCTCAGAGGGGTGTGGACACGGTCAGAGAAGGCGCTGACCATGGAGACCAGGAAGAGGAAAGAAGATGGTGGCTGCCGCCTTCCAGGAGTTTGCCATCTGGCTGGAATGGAAGCCACTGGAAAGGGAACGAGCAGAGCAGCCCAGGCAGAGAAGGGCCCGCACCGACAATGGGGAGGAACTGCAAAATGGGAGGAAACAGCCAGCCACGAGGAGGAAAGACAGTCAGCTGGAGCAGAAGACCTCGGGAGTGTGGGACACACCGGAAGCAGCAGGTGTGGGCGGTGAAACCCATGGTTCTCCAAATCGAGCATCTCACCGGACACTTCTCACAAACTCAACCCCAACCTTAGCATTTCTCCCAGGAGGGGCCTGACTCAGTAGTTTGGGTTCCGGACCCAGGTACTTGTGTTCAGCCATGACCCAGCAGGCAGTGCCAAGGACCTCGGCTATGTGTCCTAAGCGTGAGGATCCAGCCAAAAGCTCAGTTAGCAGGAGCCAACGTGGCAAGGAATGGTGGGGTGCTGTGACTGTTTATGTCACTGTCGGGGAGTAGCTACCTGGTGGCATGGTCCTGCCTGCAGTTGAGAAGCCCTCGTTTCTGCCTGTCCTCTAGCAGCACTAACAGAAATTGGGGGGCGCGCTCTTTTCCTGTGCAGCAGTGGGTGAAGGATGCCTTCAGGCAACAGCAGACTCACCTGGCACGGATCCTCCCTTCGAACCCGCCCCTTACACACATATAAAGGGGATCCCAACAAAAGCTGGGTACCTGTTCTAGCTGCCATCACTCCTGCCACTACTTTGGCACACCTGAGCCAATGAGTTGTTTCCTGGTTAGGCAAAACTCTATAGCAAGGTGCTAGGGTGGGGTTTGAAGTTTTACTTGCTGCCTGAATTTGAGAGAAAAAAACAGCCCCACTGGGACACAGTTCTCTTCCTGATTATGACGTGTGCCAGGCAGGTCCCTATGAAACAACACAGCCACACGCTACTCCAGTGACTGGCTCCTAAGCCACACAGGGGATGCAGCTGCACCTGCAGAATCCAAGGTCTAAGTGCCACTTCACCTGCCCAGCCCGTGCCTGGAGCATTTTTAGGAAGGGAGACTGTTATTCCAGAAAATTCCTATGCCTCAGCATCCTCCCTCCCACCTCCCAGTCCCTAGGTCACATCACATCCACTGCTAGGTTTGCGATTGTACCTCTCTTGGTCTCACTGTAGGACAAGGACAGTGTCTTCTAGAACTCTGTGTCCCTGTCACACCTAGCCGGTGGGGCGATGTCATAAATTACATAAGCACCTCCAAACCACAACTCAAACTTTAGAAAAGGGGAGTAAAGCCAATCTCACAGATTCATTTCGGTAATGGCTGTGCTCTTTAAAGACACAACCATCGTCCTTCAGAAACCATCAGTGCCTTTGCAGTATGGAAACGGTGCACTGAGAACAGACTCAGGGCCAGTGCATCACCCGCAGCCAAGAGTGAACCCCACGAGCACAAGGAAGACCCAGGCTCAGGCTACCGAGCCTTCTAGCTGTGTGGCCTCTCCCAGGCCCTTGTTTAAATCTCCCGGCTGTGCAAGTTGGAAGAGCAGGAGCAGCGCCTGGCACCCCGCTAGGATGCAACGGGAAGAGGCTCCAGTTAGAGGCGCCAGTGAGTGGCGAGGCGTGTGCGGAGGAGGTGAGGTGCGCACCCCTCGGTCTGCGGGGGCTGATGCATGGGGTGAGAGCAGGCTTCGCTCCTGTTGCAAAGGACAAGAGGCCACAGTGCTTGCTTTGTGGCTGGTCCTGCCCAGTGCATACCCTTCTGATAGATGAGATAATAAGCACATCTTATTATTTCTTTTGGAGGGGGAAAAAAAAGTCCCTCTATATCATGCTCTGCTATGAGACTGCCACAGAGAAGCGTTGTCAGCTCAGTGAGAGGCTGGCAAGTTGGGGTGAAGGCCCGAAGGTAGGAACTGACGTAGAGGAAACACTGCAGCCCCAATAGGAAGCGCCCTCGGACTCTGCTCTTGCTGTCCCAAGAGCCTCCTCTCCGCAGGGAGACAAGTCTAGCCCGAAAAGCACCGGGCAATGTGAAGGGAAGCAACAATCCCTACAGAGTGCTGGTGGGCCGACGGGGGATGTGCTTGTCCCCATTCAGCTGTTTATAGACAGAGTCGAGTGTTCACGGCAAATAAACACAACATAAAACCAGATGCCGCTTAGGGAACCGCTTTATCTAAACATGAATTATATCCGCAAAACTGGCTGGATACGCAATCATGAGCGCTCTCCAGTGACGGTTCACCAAGGTTTCACAGTCAGGGTGGCGATGGGCGGCAGCATGAGGAGACCAAACTACTGGCAAGGAGCCCTGTAAGAGCAGGAGCAATCTCTGAGCCACAAAAGCACTCAGCGATCATGAAATGGCTGCAGTATGTGCAGGGAGCTCCCCCATGGTGCTCATCCACACCAGCGCCATCAGCAGGAGACTCGCCCACCCCGGGAGGCGCCTGGCACTCTTTGCCGAGATCCCAGGGGTGTCGGGAGAGACCAGCAAGGACCCACTGCCTTCCCCGAGGCTCGAAAGTCGGCACCAGCACCGCTCACAGCTCCGCTGCTCACCACAGCTAGGCCGCTGCTCGGCCTCAGCGCTGAGTGTGACGTTCCTTGCTCAGCCCTCGGTTCCACAGGCTAGGGGAGGGGTCCGTCCCAGGGCACAGGAGGGAAGGTGGTGGGGCCAGGCCTGACCCCACTGTCCACTGCTGTCTGTGGCGTCTGGAGAGGGAAAGGGGTCGGCTGCCACGCTGAAGGAGCAAGCGTGGCCAAGACCTCACCAAAGAAATTCACCCCCGAACCAATGAGTGTCTGGAATCCAGTTGAGTTTCAGCAATGTCGCCTACTACTCCAGCCCTCCCAACCCACCCCAAACTAGCTCAGGGCTCAGGACACCCAGGCTGAAGGGCACTAAGTATTTTTAGCAGGGGTTTTTATAGCATGTGGCTGAGCACAGAAAGCAAAGACAGTTTAATAGGATGTTTCTGCTTCTCAAAGACAGATATGAGCAGTCTCAGGGCCCAGC